ATATGCAGGATGGGGTCATCTACAAAGAATGACACTCAGCACTGGCAGTAATTTAGAAATCTAAAATTTCTGTCAGGGAACACAAAAGCACTTTTAGTACTCCACTGTAGTTTCATATTATGGAGTTCCAGTACAAGCTGCAAGTGAGTAAAGTCTGGAATGTTTAAATGTTATTAAATTTTATCCTGAAAGTGCTGACACACACACACACACACACACACACACACACACACACACATTTTTACCTATCCTCCACAGAATATGGTTTGGGAAGATATCTTTGAAGTTAGAAAATTCTATCACTATTTAAGAATAATTAGAATATCCTTTACTATTCCCAGTGTTTTAGACATTTTGGTATCGACTGCTGTTAACAGTGTGGGGGTAGCCAGTCCCATATGCCCGCTATTACTAGGGAGAAATTCACTTTTTTTTTCCAAAAAAAAGAAAAGAAAGAAAAACCAGGCATTCCAAAAGGATTATAAATACATTAGGTAAGCTATAGCTATTTTTATATTGGGTCTACTTTCCTTGATATTCTTAATGAATTCACAAGAAGAATAAGAACAATAACAAAAGGATTTCGGTAAAATGGAATATTTTGTGGCATCATGTCCAGCAGGAATCAGTCAAGTGTGGCAGCTGATATTGTGGTTATACCTTGTTCCCCAAAACTATCTATGTTGTTCATAATGCTTTGTATCATGATAAGGAAAGTCTTGAGTACTTCCCAAAGTAATTTCAGAATTTATAACTCATTTTTGGGAGATGGTGCTACACATGGTGGTGCTTAGGGTTCACTCCTGGCAGAACTTGGAGGACCATATGGGGTACCAGGGATTGAATCCATGTAAAGCAAACACCCATTCACTGATCTATCACTCTTACCTCTCATAATTGTTTTAAATTAAATAGGAAACATGGCACTTATCTCTAAAATATATATTAAATATAGAAGACATGACAAATTACTTCATATGAATACACTTTGGGAGACGTCCTGTATTATACTCTGTACCCTTACTTCTCAAGAGTGAATAAGAAAAGTCTTTTATCAAAGAAGATTAAATTAAGGTAACAGAATTTAGCTGAATTTTTTCATGAATAAAGCTTGGAATCTTTGAGACAGATACTTTGACAAGTTTTGAGGATCTGAATTAAGTATCATTATTTCACTGAAACTCGACATTTTATTTCTCCTTAATAATTATAGAATAGGAACAATTTAGTTTTCTTTTGCTTTCATAGTCTTTTAATTTCTACAATAATGACATTTGATAATTAACTAAGTTATAATTCTAATAATAACCTAGAAGATAATAATAACCAAGTAGATGAAGATCTACTTTGCTCAGAGTTGGTGTCAAAAGTTGAGATTTTAAAGTCAAATCATTTTCTCTTTGATGCACCAGACTATAAATTGTTATATTCATAAAAATCCACTTAGAACTTTAAAAATACAAAAATTATACAACACACACACACAGAACATTTGTTAAGTGCACAAAACCAACCTCCAAGTATAAGCCATCTCAAGAAAAGAATCATCAAGGAGCCACTGTTTCATGGGCCCCAGGAAATAATTATTTAGAAGGAAACCTACTTCCCTCTGACCCTTTCTGAATTTCCTAAATGCTTTGCAATACACACATTTCATTTATAATCCTAAGAAATTAATCAGAAATACTCAGAAGGAAAATTTTAAAAGGGTACACAAATAAACAAAAAGAACCCATCAACATTATGTCAAAAAGAAAAATCATGAATGTTCCCATGTGTGGATGTAACTGTAGAATCTTTACAATATGCAACAAAGAGAGGACTAAAAGCTTTTCTTAGTCCCATTCATGCTCCCATCCTGACACCGGTATTCTTCATCGCCGAGAGAGCCTTCAAACTGGGAGCTGGAGCGATAGCATGGCAGGTAGGACATTTGCTTTGCTCGCAGATGACCCGGGTTCGATTCCCAGCATCCCATATGGTCCCCTGAGCACCACCAGGAGTAATTCCTGAGTGCAGAGCTAGGCGTAACGCCTGTGCATTGCCGGGTGTGACTCAAAAAGAAAAAAAAAAAAAGAGCCTTCAAACTGCATTCAAAGTAGGACAGTCTGTACTCAAACCAAAACTGCTAACCAGTATTCACTAGAATTAACTACTCACAGCAAAACTTTCAGTTTTATAGAGTTTTATCATTTATGTAATCATGCATGCATTCATATATACAGTGATATGTATTCATGTGTATTTGATGGAATGAACTTTGTCCCCTGCAAACCCACATATGTAAGTCCCACCCCCTGTTTCTTTTCTAGCCTCCCTTACTTCCTCCCTCCTGTCCCTTTGCCTGTGCCCTGGGCCCTCCTGGTACTGCTGAGCATGGATCTCAGGGCCCTGGACCCACCAGACATGTGCTCTAACTTGAACCACAACCCTGCCCACACCCCCTAGAGCTTTAGAATGCAACCAGTATTGGAGATAAAGCCTTGAAAGGGGTAGAAAAGTTAAAAGGTGGTCTTTCCGGTGTTCCCTAATCCAATTCACAAATGTTCTTGTAAGATGAGGACATTTGGACACAGACAGAGGAAAGGCCATGGGAAAACTGGAAGAAGATGTCAAGGGAGATGCCTGGGAGCAATCACCATACAAACCGGGATCCCGGACGCTCTTGGCCTGAAGTCACCAGCCCATGGCCTTTGCTATGGCAAACAAATACAGTGGTTTGGGGGGGGGGGGGGGAGGGGAGATTTGAAATACGATTATTACTGACGCAATCCAGAAGGACCCTTATATTACGGATGGTAGGACATCTATGGCCATTCCAAAGATTCCTGCAAAGTTCTGGGGACCAGATTTCATCCAGTTTCAATCTCCCATGTCTCCTGACTTCTTCAGTATAGATGTCAATGTAGAACCTCCAGTTCTTATTGTTATTGTCATGTGCAAACCTACTGTGATTTCTAATGCAATGATCCTTCCTTTGCCACCCTGCCCTACCTCTTACCCTGTCCTTTACCCCCTTCTCCCTCCTGCTCAGGGAGCTTTTCCTCACCTTCCTGCCCTCCCTCCTCTTCTCTGTACACCCTGCTCTACTCAGTTTTGTTGTTGTTGTTGCTGTTTTTTATTTTTGTTGCTCTTCCTTCATCTAAAGAAGTCTGGCTATCACATTTTGGAGGTTGATTCATATGACCAAAACCCCATTTTCTGCCTCAAGTAGCAATCAAACTATTTTCTGAAAGTTCCTTTTATAAGAGAAATTCTAAGAGCCAACTGTTAAAGAACAGCATGCTTTCATCCCTGCTACGTTATATATAGTCAAGTTATTGAAAAGAGAGAAGGTCATTTTTCAAGTTGTTCTTTGACCTTCATTTAAAAAGAGCTAGCATCAATCATTTAACATCATCTAATATCAATTCATCACCCTTCCGAGGGACCTCTACATTTTTACTCAGGCAGAAAATCTGTAGAAAACCTTTAGGAAATTCTTTCAATATTATGTAGTCTCATTATAGCTTGAAGCTCACATATGAACTCTGAACTTTTTATAAAGGCAAATATGGCTATTGGCAAAGGGTTTGAACTGGGATTTTTAAGTGGGGGATTCTAAATCAAGATCCTTCTACATGTAACAGGTCCAGTAAGAACCATAGAAATGACTTGCCCTTATTTGAAAGACCTCCCACACCTCAATATCTGCGTTGCAAACCATAATGCCCAAAGGTAGAGAGAGAGTATGGGGACTATTATCTGCCATGGAGGCAGGGGGAGGGTGGGAAAGGGGGTATACCAGGGATGTTGGTGGTGGGGAATGTGCACTGGTGGAGGGATGGGTGTTTGATCATTCATTGTGTGATTGAAACCCAAAAATGAAAGCTTGTAACTATCTCACAGTGATTCAATGAAATAATAATAATAAAAAAAGATCTCGCACACAATTAATACATATTGGTACTAACAGCTCAAAGAACATCAGTCAACTTGTGGTTTGAGGGAGAAAATGAAAATAAATTCTGATTCATAATTGCTTCTTGGGAAACGGGCAGCTGCTGCCACCTGGGGGAGGTTCTCCAGCTTCCCTGCTACAGCCAAATGTGCTCCTCGGATGAAGGAGCCCCCAACCCTTGCTTCCCTGCCACAGCCACGCAGGAAAAAGACACTTAAACTTTCTGCCCATGAAGTCATAAGGCTTTCCAGACGTCCCCAAGATTCCTTCACGAGGAAACACATATTCCACTGCCTTTTGGAGAGGTATAGGGGATGGACCAGAATATAAATATGTGAAGGTTTCTATATCTATCGCTATGAAACCATTTTGAAAATTATGAGTTATATCCTAAAGACTGAAAAAAAAAATTCAAGCTTTTAGTAACAAAGTAAAACCCGCAGTTTTAAAACTTATTTGACTTTTTGTTAGCTACACACCTCTTCTTAAATATACCACGATTAAGTGATATGACAAATGCTGATACAGCTGATACAGCCACACTAGTAATTTTATGAATTAGGAAAAAAAAACATATGTGACATAAGAATGACCCAGACAATCTTGGAACTTGCGAACTAAGTGCTGTCAATAAAGTCAATATCTGTGCATTATACTTAGCGCTACATAACTATTGAAATTTTTCAGGAAGTTTGGGGCTCAGCAATTACATTAACAAAACTAAGAATTGTTTTTGAATGTCTAACTTCTAACACCTATACATCTGGAATATTTTATGGTACAGTTACTAATTAGCAGTGTCCAAAAAGAAAATAAATTAATCCTGAAAACTGGCATTTCAGAAGTGTCTACTGAAACTTCAAGCCTTGTCAAGTGACATAAAAAAAAAAATGTAGTGCTGATTAGAGAATGACAACTAATCATTGATAGAGAGGATCCTGGTAATAGATTAACTAAATAAGATACAGCCAGTACCAGGCCCGGAGTCTATAATGCGACTGCCCGGGGTTAAGGTTCATTCAGGGAACAGCTGTGCCAGGTGGCGGGAGTCTGTGGAGGAAGCCCCTTCAGAGAAGGTAGTGCTCCTCTAGTCCACGGGCTGGAATTCCATGATTAACTTTTTGATTGAGTAATAACCAAATCTGCTCGACAATAGCCAACACAGGTAAGTAAGCTCTGTGAGCTGGGGTCCCCTGGAGAGCCCCCAGAATGCGTGTAAGGCTTGGGAGGGGGTTCGTGTCAGGGTCAGACAGGGTCTTGGGTGAGGCTTATTAGAGGTGTATGAAGCTGTTTCATGCAAGGAGAGTTATAAACAAAACTAAAAAAAATTCAATATTTAAAGATGTTTGTTGACTATTTTATGAAAGAAATGACATGTAGTTCTCATTTTTATCAGAATATTGCCTGGCTATAGAAGAAAACTTCTAGGAAACAGAAATAGAAGTCCTAAACAGTATTAACATTTCATAGGACAGAAGCATCCAGAAAGTGAGAAAAAAAATGATTCTTTTTTTTTTTTTTTTCAGAACCCTCTTGTGTATTCAGAGTGAGGAGTGGGGGAGGTGAGGCCAATAAACAATGCAAACAGGGCTGTTCCTGCCACTGCTCTAGTCCTGCTCCCCCTCTAGGAGAATAATGTGTGTGTGGGGGGGGGGGGGGCGGGGAGGGAGCAAGGGCTTCTATTGCCAGGGACTGAATCAGGGCCCTCACCACACCAGGGATGTGATCTCCCACTTAAGCCAAATTTTGGGCGCTTCAGAGTGGAATAATCTTCACCACTGCTGTCAGCTTTGTTCCTGAATTCAGCAACCCCAGCACTGGCCCCTAACCAATGCCACAGAGCTATGTCCTCTCTAGACAGGTCTGCATTTTCTATATCGGTGCTTGTTTGTCATTGACTGCCATTGCTGCTTCTTCCACTCTTCCTTGTGTGTGACTTCTCCTCTTCCCCTGAAAAATCATGAACATTTCTTTCAACCTCCAGGTGCCTCGGTACTGTCTGGGGCTGTCTGTGTGCCGGTGTCGTGCTCACACCTCTGGGCTTCCATCAGGGCCTGAGGGGACAGTCCCTGGAAGGCTGGGGCCAGGGAGGTCTCACTCTGGGAGGCTGCAGAGGCCTAACTGATTCTTCTGTGCCTCTACTTACCCACAGCTATGACAGACTCCAACAAGATGGTCATCAACTTGGTCCTCTTCGGCATGACCCAGAGTGGAAAGAGTTCTGCGGGGAATGTTCTCCTGGGAAGTGCTGACTTCGACAGCCACTTTGCTCCAGCTTCCGTGACCAGAGACTGTAGCCTCGGCCGCAGCTGTCACCTGCGAGGCTTCATGCGTCGGGGCGGTCAGGAGGTAGCCCTGCAGGTGCAGGTGCTGGACACGCCGGGTTACCCACACAGCAGGCTGAGCAAGCAGCATGTGAAGGAGAAGGTGAAGGAAGCCTTGGCCCGCCACTTCAGCCAAGAGGGCCTCCACCTGGCACTGCTGGTCCAGAGGGTAGATGTGCCTCTCCTGGAGCAGGAAGCGTCGTCCCTCGTGCAGATGATCCAGGTAACAGACCAAGGGGCAACTACCTTAGTGCCTTTCCTCCAGCGGGAGGACCTGCCCTCACATTCTTAAAACTAACATAAAAACACAGGTTAGGACCAGGGGGAGATAAATCCCTGGCTTTCCCACCCAGGGTCCTTTCTGAAATTTCCTTGGAGAATTCATTTGGTAGTTGGATCACAGAAATCAAACAGAATCCTCACCTTCAGATTCAGCTATGCCCAAACACATCTGAGAGCTGGAAACCCCAACAGACTTGCAATGTGCATGCTCCAGACTATGTGCATCCTAACTGGGCTGCTGGCCACAAAGGCAGAACCGTCCACGTCCTCCTGAAAGGATGTCAAGAGCGGAGCCTGCACATCTGTATTTTCATAAACATTCCTCTTACTCGTCAGAGCCCATTTCCGGAATCACAAAAGTAAAGTTTGGCTAGAAAGTCATTCAGCACTGAGGGAACACTTGCTGCTGGCTTGCCCACAAACAAGGTGTCCCTGCACTCATTCCATCCCTGAGCACAGTGGCGAGGGCACAGAGTTTAAAGGTCACTGGATGAAACACCGAAACATCGGCCTGAGAAGGGACAGAGCTCAAGGGGTCGAAGGTCATGTACTGACCGACGGGTGGGGGAGGGAGACTTCACTGACGCTCAACCCCAGGAAATACTCAGGGAAGATGGAGACTCAGAGGAAATAAACCAGAACCTCCAGAAATTTTTCTTGTGCACTTACTCCTTCGTTCCAGCCAAGAGACTGCCATGGGGGTCTGGCGGCGGGGGAGCCAATGACACAAGTACCTGGGGTCGAATCCTATTACTCATTTGTTAACAGGTCAATGGTTTCGAGTCCTTCTCAGCTGAGGAAGGGAGCTGGAAAGAGGAGAGGCCCTGAGGAAGGCCTCAGCTGGACAGGGAAGGAGACATTCACTGACATTCGGACCCGGACATCCCGCCGGTATTTTGGATAGCCATACGTGGGCAAGGCCACGGAAGTCTCAGCAGCAGTTCAGGAAATATTCCCTGAGCTGCTCCGTTGGACTAATCTCAGGATTCCCTACTCTTGAGGCAACCAGATGTAGTGCGGGCTTCACTGGTATCTCTCAGACGCACAGCTCAGAGAAGTCTTTCCCACCTGAATTTCACAGGTAAACTACACAAAGGACAAAGAATACGTAATCTGCAGAACTCCTACTGAGAGGAGTTTCAGTGTGAACTCTGAGCACTCAAGCAGGAGGTTTATTTGGAAAGTGAGTGTACTTGGCTTTTAAGATTTTTTTCCCCTTTAACTAGAAAAAGCATAAGAGTGTTTTAAGTGGCAGGCACACATTTTGTTTTTCAGTAACTGTGCATGGTTCTAAAAATGAACAACAAAAAAGCCATATGTGTAATCACAAGAAACTAGCGGAAAAAATTAGGGTGACAAGAGTATAAAAAATAATCCTCATCATCCAACTCCTGAAAAATCAAGGACATGCTGTACAAAAGCAAAGAAGAAGAGAACATGATTGCAATTAAGAAACAATGTGGAATCTAAGAGCCCATAAAGCTCCCCCCAAACTATTAAAACCAGCGCTTCAAACTAGTCTGGTAGAAATCAAGGGGGACAACCTGCATCACTTCCATCAGTGAGAGCTTGAAACTGTTTTAAAACTTCATTTAAAGCTACTATTAAATGAACATCTAGCTTAAGTTATAGATGAATGTAAAGGTAAAGGTAAAGGCCCTCCCGTTGTTCATCGATTTGCTCGAGCGTGCCCAGTAACGTCTCCATTGGAGACTTTGTTGTTACTGTGTCTGGCATATCGAATACGTCACGGGGAGCTTGCCAGGCTCTGCCGTGCGGGCGAGATACTCTCGGTAGCTTGCCGGGCTCTCCAAGAGGGGCAGAGGAATCGAACTCGGGTTGGCCATGTTGGCTGCGTGCAAGGCAAATGCCCTACTGCTGTGCTATCGCTCAGTAAGTGCATCAACAAATGTTTCTCAAAAGCTAACCTCTCACCGTATGTCTCCAAATTGTTCCTCTTGGTTCTATAATAGACTTTAAAAGATATATACCTTTTGATAACATTTTACCCCTGTTTTAGGATATAAAATCACACTAACATTCCTTGTTCATTTTTCTAAAATATGCAAGAGTTGGATTCTTCAGTCTCTGGAGCGCACACAACCTCCTGTGGATGTCTTCATAAAACCAGTGTCCAATTTAGCAGGGGAAGGCAGAAAGATGGGCTGGGGTCAAAGCTCAGTCCAGAATGTTTTTTCCAAAATATATCATTTCTCTCTCCTGCTGACTCAGCAACCAAGACCCAGTCATCCTCAGCAGAGCCCTGGGCCCTCAGAGGCAAAGTGGACTATTCTGGGTTTCCACCATGTTTTCTGGCCCAGGAGTGCCAGCGCAAGTGGCTGCGGGGGCTCGACCTTCTTCCTGAAGGTGCCTGGGACTGGTGGCAGACATCTGGGCGCACTCAGGATTGGGTGTAGCTGCAGAGAGTCTGAATATTCAACAGGACCAGCAGCTGTTAGGAGGGCATAAGAAGCTGTGGAGGTCTTCTGGTTTCTTCTTCTTTCTAGCACATGCGGAAAGGAACATCTGCCTCTTCCTTCCTGGCGGGGGGCACAGATGCCTGCCCTGGAGGGGTCTGGAAGGGCCAGTCTGGAGAAGGTGCCTCTTCTCCCCTACTCTTCCCCGTTCTCTTGAAATCTGTCTTTCTTTGTCTTTCTTTCTTCCTTTCTTTCTTTCTTTCTTTCTTTCTTGTTTTTCTTTCTTTCTTTGTCTTTCTTTCTCCTAAAACTTCATTTAAAGCCACTATTAAACGAACATCTAGCTTAAGCTATAGATGAATGTAATTCAGTAAATTCAGTAAGTGCATCTTTCTTGCTTGCTTGCTTGCTTGCTTGCACCTGAAGATGGTTTATTTAAGAGATTGAGAAGCACAATAGAAAAATTAGTGGAAGGTAGTAGGCAAAAGAAAGTGACCAAGTGTAAAATGTCTATTATAGATCTTGAAGTCTTAATACCTTTGTGCTCTAGTGCTCTAGTACTTAGAGGGACGAGAGGGCACTAATGATGACAATGAAGACACCCCCCCCCCCAAATGAACCCTTTCTGTTTATAGTGGGTTTTCATAAATTTACAGCAAGCTGATGGAGACGCCAATAAGTCAGAGCCCTGAGGCCAGAAAATGGAGGGAATGAGTCATGTGGATACTGCGGATCATTAAATGTTTTGAGAAATCCATAAATAATGGACCAGGATATATCATCACCATAAGGGAAGTGTTAGCAGGCATCACGGCTCCTACTGAGTTGCACCCAGGACCGAACTAAGGCTCTGAAGTGCACCTGCTATTCCCCTCAGGAACCGTGCTCTTGCTGGGTGCTAGCGCCAGGCCCCAGCAAGCAATCTGGCAATGGCCTTCCTAGTGGGTATGTACACAAAAGGCTTGGGAGGCCAAGGCAGGGCCTGAACATATTCAAACAAAGGTCCTGGGCTTAGCTGTCACCCAGAATTAAATTGAAAAATAAGCACTGTTACAATTTGGGGTATGACTCTGAATGTCACTAAGACCTTCTTGGCTTCAGTTCCTCACATATAAAATGGGGATAATTTTACCTATCTAAAAGAGCTCTGGGGATTAGATTTAATAATTGCAATATGCTTGGCACCGTGCCTGACTTACAGTGGGTTTGCAAAAAAAATAGAAAGTTATTATTATTATCACCACCACCCAGGTCGTTAAGAGTACCTGTTCAGGGAACTATTAGACGTAAGCAATGCATGCAGAGTTTAAAAGGAATGAGTTCTGGAATGTTAGACCTGTTGGTTGCCTACTTGCTTTGTAATCTTGCAAGTAATTTCTCTAAACTCCATCTCTACACTGGTAAGCCAGGAAAGATAATGGTATCCACTAAACTGCTTTGGGGAATGCAGTCATATTATCATAAACAGTAACTTAGAAATTGAGATGACATGTGCAAAATACATACTACAGTCATTTTAATTTTATTGTTCTCTTATCCTAAAATTAGGACATCATGCTTGTAGCCTTCTACAGGATTATCTTAATCGGTTTGAGAAGAAACTGTCAGTGAAGTTAAGTTTACAGAGTCTTGATTCACAGCTATAAAAACTTCCTTATTAATTCTGAAAACTATCTGGGAAGCAGACTCACGAGCTTGGGAAGGTTAAACTGAGAAGCTCCCACTTTGTAGGCAGGATATTGGGGCTGGCAGTCAGCTCAGGTCTGCCAACTATCAGCTATGCAGCTTTGGCCAAGCCATTAACATTGTAAGACCTCAATATTCTCCTCTGTAAAACAAGGCAATTTGGAAAGATGATCCTTAATCCTTGCTAATACTCTCTGAGTCTGATCTAAGGAGGTCTTATCATTCAGCTTTGGCTCTCTGAGAAGGAAAATGTGCTCTAAGTGGGATGAGAGGAAAGAGAATAGCATAAAATATAAAGAATGGTTCTTATTGTCCTCCTGTTCCACGATAATTTTTTTCCCTCAGTTGATGTAATAGTTGGCTTTTTTAAAAGTTTCCCCCTAAAAAGTCCAGATGCTATGATTTCATCAACCACAAACAAATGGGGCAGGGCTGGTGAGGTCCTGGGAAAATGAACATAATTCCTGGAAAACAAAGCTTATATCCTAACCAGTTGTCCCAAAAGGACTGGATGGACTCATACCCATTAGCACTCTGAAACCAAACAATTCATGATTGATTGTAAAATTTCCATGTAGCTTAGTTCAATATTTAAATTATTAACACCAGATAACTTACATTAACTTATCTCACTCTTGCATTTTTATGCAAGGTATCAATCAACTGATTATTCTTTCTCTGGGTCCACAGAGAACACGTTTGGCCACGAACACGATGTCCATACACCAAGCGACACCACTTTCAAATATTCTACTTTTTTCTAGCCAAAAACCAATCTAAAGATTATAAGCTGAATCAAGTATTCTCTTTTTGGCAGTAATTCAAAAGTGCAATTTCTCTCACAGTTTAAGACATAAGCATCCTTTCATAAATAATTATCAACATACAAAAACTTCCCGGTGGCTGAACTCATGGATTTTAAATATTGTCAAGTTTATAAGTCTATTATCCTTAGGTGCTCTAGGTAATTTTCCCCTAAATAATATTATGGTTAAGTACAGAAAATGTCCAGTGGAGACAAAGAGGAAATGTGCTAATGTTACCATACAGCAAACCAATAACTAAGACATACTGTGAAAGTTTTAACATTTAATGCAATGAGTACTAGCCTAGTAAGAGAAAAATTTCTATTCTAACTCAAGAAAAGACTACTCCAGCCAAGCAATCTATTTTGCAAGAATTTTTATTATGGTGATTGAAAAATAACGAAAAATGGACCAGGCATCAACCAACTCAAGAGTTGAGTCCGAGGTTAGTTCTCAGAAAGTAAAGAGTAGCAGCTAAACATTGACTTGTATTTTACTTTTCAATATGATGACATGATCAATATAAACATAAATAGGATGCCAAGTGAAGTATTAAGTTTGGTGCTAAATTCGAGAAATTTCCAAAGAGTGACAAAGAATTCATAGTTGCACCTGCAGAGAAATAAAATTCTAATATTCTATAATCTTTAGTCATGTACCAATACTCTTTAGTTTTATGTTAAACACAATATCCTTATTAATTTCAAAGTTCAAAGATTCATTGTGTTGCAGAAACTTTTTCTGATTGCTCACTTATCTCTTCTTCTCACCTGCACATAAACATATTGATGTTGTAAGAGGCTAGGCTAAGTGAATGTCCCCACTGGAGAGCAACAAGAAATTTCCTATCACATTTTGACTACTAGTTTTCTCCCAACTTTCCCTCTTTCCTTCTTTCTTAACTTTAAATTTATTTACAACAGGAGAAGCTCAACTAAAAGAAAGGTGTATTGTTCCATTCTGCATCCTGAGATCAAAGTAGACCCTTAATAAATGTTACAGAAGGAAATCACCCACAGAATTCAGACTTTATTCCAAAACTGTTGTAAATGATATAGGAAGCATTCTATTTCCAGAATCTAGATCTGATAAAGATGAGGTACTCCATTAATCTTCAACAACATTAATTTGCTAAGGCTGTTTTTAGAACAAGGTATGAGTAACTGGGTAGCTTAGAAAACAGAAACTTTTCAAAGTTTATAATCTGGGTGTCTGAAATAGGTATCAGCAGGGCGAGCTCCTCATGCAAAGGTTCTCTCCTTGGGTAGCAAATGATGCCCTTCATATTTTCATTCCCCTTTTTGTTTTCCCCCTGTACTCAGGCCTGCTCCACATTTTACATTACAAAGACAGCAATGGTACTGGGTCAGGGACTTTCCCAATGATCTCATCTTAACTGATGACATCTGCAAGGCCCTATTTCCAAATAGTCACATTCTCAGGGGCTGGAAGTTACTTGAACACATGAATCTAGAAGCAGGGGAAATGTTTCATCAAAACAGTACCGTTTACTTATTTTGCAACTCTATGATGCTTTTTCTACCACAGGTGTGTTATAATATACTGAATATATACAAACTTGAAGAGGCCTCTAATTTTGAGATTACACAAATACTTTAATTTATGAAAGAGCTATGTTCTTTATAGTTTTAGTTCAAATTATGCTGATCTTTATTTCAAAGACACACAGAATATGACAAAGAACCCTGAAAAATTCCTTTGTAAAGTTTGGAATTTGTTAAAATAAGTATGCCCTAATCTTATCATTTCATATTTTCTTGAGGTGGAGCATCTTTGAATAACCAGAAATATAAACTCTATGGTTAGACGGTGGATATATTCCTTGAAAGAATTTTTTTGAATAAAAAATAGAAAGTGCAGTCTATAAGCTAATCTGATACTGAACTATAAGACAAAAGTAAGGTTTAATCACTCACTTGTATCACTTGTCCTGTTGTTCATTGATTTGCTCGAACAGGCACCAGTAACATCTCCATTGGTCCCTGTCACGTGCTAGCGTAGGCTAGTGGTGTATTGGGGGCTCTTTCAGAATCAGGGGAATAAGACATGTTATTATTAATGTTTTTTGGCATATTGAATATGTCACGGGGAGCTTGCCAGGCTCTACTGTGTGGGTGGGATACTCTTGGTAGCTTGCCGGGCTCTCCGAGAGGAAGAAACTAAGGTTTAATAGGAAAGTATTATTTTTGTGTTCCCAAATTAAAAGAAATTTCAAAACTCAAAATAAATAAAAGCCCAAACATCCTTTTTGAGGATAAGGGTCTAAATTCCAAATTAATCCACAACTTCCAACATGCTAATGGTCTTGATTGCTAAGGAAAGACCTTGCCTTTCAGATTCAGTCAGGAAAGGGTGAACAAGTCCCACTGACAGACTGGCTCAGAACTGGCAACTGTGGTCCTGAGACGACTAATTGTGAATATTTTGGCTCACAATATTCAAGTATTTTCACATTAGAGTTACATTCCCTGACCCTTCCTGCCTTTCTTTTCCTTCCAGTTTTTCAATATTATAAATATTAACCCTAGCTTTTAACACATTGAAGATAGTTTCCTAAACTGACTTTCAAATTTTCCAAAGTCTAAGTTTGTATTAATCATGCCATACACCATAAAAGAGAGCAGTATCTTCTACAAAGCACAGGTTCAACTTCAAAAAATATGTATGTAGAGGCCGGAGCGACAGTACAGTAAGTTGGGCATTTGCCTTGCATGCAGCCGACCCAGGTTCAATCCCCGGCATCCCAAATGGCCCCAAGCACCACCAGGACCAATTCCTGAGTGCAGAGCCAGGAGTAATCCCTGAACATCACACATATATATGTATAAGGTACTAATTAGCACAGTATCTGGTGTTATATGGTGGTTGTTCTCTTTCAATCACTAGAGGTCCTGGATATTATTTTTGTTCCTAGATATCTTAGGTAGATAGATCTTGTTATTATAAACTGTAAGCAACTTTGGAATTTTATTTTGTAACAGGAGTGTTTGGAATGAAGTATTAATTTACCTTCACACTATCATGATTTCATATAACTTTGGAAATATTTAAGAATGTTAAATGGTTCTTCTAGATGCCTTTCATATTGCATGAACAATTTGCCACATGCTGTTACTTCTGCTTTATATCAACTTATTTTCACTAATCAAACAAGAATTTATTACATAACCAACTTCCAAATATTGCTAAACAAAGGCACACCAGTCTTCAGTGTTTTTCAACAACACTGGAGGAAATCATCTGATAAATTGGGTTTGATTCTAGGCATGTGAAGAGAACGCGAATCATAGTTAATATTTTGTAGTTGTTCCAAATCACCAAATGTATTTTGATCTTAGCTTTTCCATTACATATCATCTGACTGATCAATAGATTGTAACCAGATTATGTAATCATAAGTCCTTTGAAGATGCTTTTAGCAATCCTGATAACAACATTCCTTCTAAAATAGATGACCATCCTTTTGGCCACGGTTCTGACTTAACAGAATTCAGTGGTTCTGACAGAATTAAGGTTATCAAAAAATAATTATGACTATTATAAATGTGATTTATCATATGTAGCATAGGTATGCAATTTGAAGTTACTTAATAGTAAAATAGCAAATAAGGGGGAACTGAAGTCTTTTTGTTAGAAGGCTCCCCCTACACGCCCCCACCTATGTCCATTATTTGACCCCATGTTTCCTCCTTACAGCAGCTACAGGTATAGGAACAATGAGATGCACATTTGCTGGCCGCCTATGTTGGACCATCGTAACTCCTTTGCTCATTATTGACAAATATAGTTCATGGCAGGGGGCACCACGGCTGGAGCGATAGCACAGTGGGGAGAACGTTTGCCTTGCACACAGCCAACCCAGGTTCGATTCCTCCGCCCCTCTTGGAGAGCCTGGCAAGCTACCAAGAGTATCCCGCCCACACGGCAAAGCCTGGCAAGATCCTCGTGGCATATTCGATAAGCCAAAAAAAGTAACAAGTCTCACAATGGAGACGTCACTGGTGCCCACTCAAGCAAATCGATGAACAATGGGAGGATAGTGCTGCAGTGCTATAGTCCATGGCAAATAGTCACTTAACTACTTCTCTCTTTCAGGAACTTCTGGGACATGCTTGGAAGAATTATACCGCCATTCTTTTCACCCACGCAGAAAAAATAGAAGAGGCCGGGTTCGATGAAGACACATACTTACATGAGGCCTCCAATGCACTGCTAACCTTGCTTAACTCCATTCACTGCAGATATGTTTTCCAGTATAGAAAGGAAAATTCATTTAGTGAGCAAAGAATAAAAATCTTAGAAAGACTCATGGGATTTGTGAAAGAAAACTGTTACCAAGCTCTGACTTTTCAATAAAACTTAAGATGAAAGAAAAGAGTATTGGATATGCAGGGAGTGAGAAGCTTTAAGCGTCTTTGCTAACATGAATATGGACCATGAGACAGCCTACAAGCTGCCAGGGGAAGGGAAGAATGGCTAGAACCACTGCAAAACTGGACTGATCATTAAGAAGATTCAAAATTTCTTAAGCAAGTCTTAAGACACAACAATTAACATCTTAAGTATAGTTTCAATAGCAGCATGTATTGAAATGATGGTCCGTGTATCAGCTAAACAGGAAAATGGTCTGAAAGTCCTTTGCCAGTAGGTAAGTAAATAGTGGCATATAAACACGATGGAACACTACAGTGATGAGAATAACCAAACTAAAACAACAAGTAACAATTTCACAAATGGTTCAAACACGCTGAAAGAAGTCAGACATTAAAAATTTGATTGCATTTGCCGCATGTTCAGGAACAGCTAAAGTGAATGTAATCTAGCCCGCTCTGACCTCAGAAGCGCTGAAGTCGGGGAGGGCTCAAGGACCCAACAAAGTTGTTCTGAGAAGAAATTTTTCTGAGCTGGAGGCACACTTCACAGATGTGTTCATGTGTTCAAACAGACTCTTCTGATTTATGAATTATTCATTGTATGTCACACTTAATGTTCAAAATAGGGAACTGCCATCCATATTTTAGAAGCTAACTCCAGTGCACCAGTAAGATGATCTTATTTGTCTCATTTGGAATACCTACTTCATAGTTCCTGTGATGATTAAAAGCCTGAATGATACTATATGGCAGCTTTCTTATAAACTAGGGCTCCCACTTGGACTAGAAGCAGAAATTAGAAACTCATATACATTTTCCATATATGATTTAGAGAAGAGCTGGAGCAATAGCATAGCGGTAGAGCATTTGCCTTTCGCGCAGCCAGCCCTGCCGAGCCGGGTTCGATTCCTCCGCCTCTCTTGGAGAGCCGGGCAAGCTACCGAGAGTAGCTTGCCCGCACAGCAAAGCCTGGCAAGCTACCCATGACATATTCAATATGCCAAACACAGTAACAACAAGTCTCACGATGGAGACATTACTGGGCCCGCTCGAGCAAATCAATGAACAATGGGAGGACCATGACTGTGATTTAGAGAAGAAACAACGGCACTCTCAGAAAATACAGCGGGGACTGAGAAAAGGATTCAATCATTTCCTTCCTTTCTCAAGGGTAACTATATCTCCCCTATTTAAAACATTACATCCACTTCCTACTGAAGGTGAATAAACCTAGTAAGCAACTAGAAAGAAATCTATCACCCTATTTCTAAATCCATTATGGATTCCTGTTCTTCCATTATCCATTTTATCTTGCTGTCATTATCAGAATGATTTGGCAACTAAAACGATAGACTAAGTCTTGATATCTAGGTTGAATTTTTTTTTGTTGTTGTTGTTTATATTCCCTGATTTTTTTTCCAAATATTTTCTGACTACTATCAAGTATTTATTCATATGTGTTTCTAGGTCATTTTTTCTAATTAAAAACTTGTTTTGTAGTGTGATTATGACAAACGACATCTGTGGTGATAACATCCTCCCATGCAACTGTTAAGAATGTTTTCCATCTGACTTACTGTGCCAATACTTTATATTACATATTTCACAGTATTTTTCTGAATTTTTCCGATCTCATAAAGTTGCTCTGGTGGGGGTTGTGAGTGTACAGCTGGCAGTGTTCAGAGGTTAACCCCAGACCCGTGCGGGGGGGGGGGGGGGGGCTGCTCTCGCCTGCCTGGGGGCCCTGGGATCACGCACAGCAGGGCACTGAGCCAGGGTCTCCTGCCTGTTTGCATCTTGAGCCACTGTCCTGGCCTCAGGAAGTTAACTTAAGTTTTCTCTGTGATCAGTTGGAAGGTCCACTCTTAAATTCATACTCATTATTTCCTCATTTCAGAAATCTACATCAAATATGTACTGAAGTATTTCCCTACGCAATAAGTTTCTTCCCCGATTGCATCTTCCCTTCACCAAGTAAAGTAAAATCGTACCTGAAGATAGGCTTCCATTTTCTTTTTTAAAAATTTTATTTTTATGAAATTGCTCACAATACTTTATTGCATTTAATATTCCAACACCAGTCCCGTTATCATTACACGTTCCCATCATCATATTTCAAACCCCGACCCCCAAATCCTGCCCCCAAAGCAGACCAACCTAAATAATTTATTTTGTATTGCTTGATCATCTTAATCTGCTAAAAATGATCCAAGAAAAGTTTCCTTAGAAAGTATGTGAAGATTGTTTTACTTCACAGAAGGGCGCAGTTAAGCCCATATGTATGTATATATATGTGTACATATACACATATATATACACACATATACACACATACATATATATGTATATATGTCTGTATATATGTGTGTGTGTGTGTATATATATATATATATATATATATATATATATATATACTTTTTTCTCTCCTAGTTGCCTTCTACTTTACACCTCACCAAATGTAGTGTGCTACTCTTGGTACATCAGTGGTACAGAGTATAAAATGTCACTCCAGGATTTCAAAAGTTTTAAATATAGTGATACAGTTGAGGTTAATTATTTTTTTCTTTAACCGGTTAGTGACTCTGGGGTCTGGAGGCATCTCTGCAGTGTGTTGTCCTCTTCTGAGATTTATCAGAGTCTCTGGATCATGGCCAGTAATGAGCTGATATGGCACCAAAGGCAGTTTGTGGGCATGACCGTCAGTTATAGAAAGCGCAGGGAGATGGGTGGGAGGGCGCCCATTCCCCATTCGGTGTGAACCCAGAGATTTCAGTCACAAGTCCCGCATACTGGGTTTTTCAGCAGACTCACTCATGGATGAGGCTTGTCTGAGCCTGTGGAGAGTGGCCGTGAGCACGACAGTGATTGAGTTCTGGAGGTCTTTGGCTGCCGGGGCTCTGTTAGGGCAGGGAAGGGAACTCTCCTTCCCCCTCTGGGTTGCCCCTAATGAGACAGCCTGGTGCGGGGTCCAGAGGCATCTCTGCAGTGTGTTGCTCTGTGTTGCTCTCTTCCAAGACTTATTTGTGAGTCTGGACCACTGCCATTGATGAGCTTACATGGCACCAGAGGCAGTTTGTGGGCATCATTTTCTATTCTTTTCCGTCTGTCCTCCCCAGGAAAAAACGTCTTTAGAATGTCCTTTTGTCCTATTATCAGACTCTGCTGAGGTAGGGCTAACTAATTCGCTACAGTGTATATAGTCTCCAGAGGGTTACCATGATCTCTTTTAACATATCATTAGAAGCTCCATTCCATGCCACTATTTCTCTTCATTTGTCTCCATCTTCTTTAGTGCTTTAGAGGTATAATTTCTGATGGGGAGGGGTGCTCAGGGAGCAGTGCTCCGGAAGCCCAGGGGCAACTCCCAGCAGTACTTAGTCCACTGTATTAGGAGGCATCAGGCTCACACCTGGGTGTGTGTGTGCCTGGGTGGAGGGGCCAGGTGGGAAAGCACTGGGGGATCAGACTCAGGCTACATACAAATAGGTCCGCACTTTCGCACTGAGCAAACGACCCTCCTGGCCCCAACTAGAGTCCCAGCAAGAGGCCTCTCCCTGCAGACTGTGCCCTTCCACGGGCATTGGGTACTCCTCATCATCAGCATCCCGGGTGTAATTGACCATATTCTGTTTACTGCTTTTCCTGGATGGTAGGTCACCTTGCCTGACCTCAAGACATTCCCCATTATTAGGGACAATTACCGTTTGCAACAAAAGAACCACGTGGTTAGAATAAGTTCAAGGAAGAATGATGTCCAGAAACTGCCTTTGGGGGCTGGAGAAATAATCATGGGTAGTGAGCCTACCTTGCATACCTTTGTTCTGCCTTTGATTCTCAGGACCTCACATGATCCCAAGGCCCACAAGTCATCCCAGAGCACAGAGCCAGGAGTACGCCTTGAAAACTGCCAGGTGTACAAGCCTACAGCAAGCATCATCCTCAATGGGGAAAAACTGAGAGCCTTCCCTCTAAGATCAGGGACGAGACAGGGATGCCCACTCTCTCCACTGCTGTTCAATATAGTACTGGAAGTACTTGCAATAGCGATTAGGCAGGAAAAAGATATTAAGGGCATTCAGGTAGGAAAGGAAGAAATCAAGCTCTCACTATTCGCAGATGATATGATACTCTACTTAGAGAACCCAATAACTTCCACCAAAAAACTCCTAGAAACAATAGACTCGTATAGTAAAGTTGCAGGTTATAAAATCAATACCCAAAAGTCCATGGCTTTCCTATACACAAACAGTGAGAGAGAAGAAAGCAACATGAAAAAAACAATCCCATTCACAATTGTGCCCCAGAAAATCAAGTACCTAGGAATCAGCTTAACTAAGGAAGTAAAGGACCTGTACAAAGAAAACTACAAAATGCTACTTCAGGAAATAAAAGAGGACATGAGGAAATGGAAAGATATCCCCTGCTCATGGGTCGGGAGACTTAACATTGTCAAAATGGCAATACTACCGAAAGCATTGTATAAATTCAATGCAATCCCTATAAGGATACCCATGACATTCTTCAAAGAAATGGAGCAAACACTCCTGAAATTTATATGGAACAAAAAGCCCCCACGAATAGCTAAAGCAATTCTTGGGAAAAAGAAAATGGGAGGAATCAACCTCCCGAACTTCAAACTGTACTACAAAGCAGTAATAATTAAAACAGCATGGTACTGGAACAAAGGCAGAACTGCAGACCAATGGAACAGGGTTGAATACACTGACATCTCTCCTCAATCATATGCTCATCTAATCTTTGATAAAGGTGCAAGTAATGTGAAGTGGAGTAAGGAAAGCCTCTTTAATAAATTGTGTTGGCATCACTGGACGGCTACATGCAAAAAAATAGGTTCAGAACTCTGCCTAACACCATGTACAAAAGTAAGATCAAAATGGATTAAAGACCTCAACATCAGACCAGAAACCATAAGGTACATTGAAGATAAAGTTGGCAAAACCCTCCATGACATTGAAGCTAATGGTATCTTCAAAGATGCCACGCCACTGGCCAAGCAAGTGAAAACAGAGATAGATAAATGGGACTATCTTAAACTAAGAAGCTTCTGCACCTCCAAAGAAACAGTGACCAAAATACAAAGACAGTCTACAGAATGGGAAAGGATATTCACCGAATACACATCTGACAAGGGGTTGATATCCAGGATATACAAAATACTGGTTAAACTCCACAAGAAGAAAACATCCAACCCCATCCAAAAATGGGGCAATGAAATGAACAGAAACTTTCTCAAAGAAGAAATCCGAATGGCAAAAAAGCACATGAGAAAATGCTCTACATCATTAATCATCAGGGAGATGCAGATCAAAACCACAATGAGATACCATCTCACACCTCAGAGACTGGCCCACATTCAAAAGAACAAAAGCAACCGATGCTGGCGCGGATGTGGCGAGAAAGGGACACTCCTTCACTGTTGGTGGGAATGTCCACTGGTTCAGCCCTCCTGGAAAACAGTATGGACGATTCTCAAAAAATTAGAAATTGAGATCCCATTTGACCCAGCAATACCACTCCTGGGAATATATCCCAGAGAGACAAAAATGTATAGTCGAAGTGACATCTGCACTTGTTTGTTCATTGCAGCACTCTTTACAATAGCCAGAAACTGGAAGAAACCTGAATGCCCAAGAACAGATGACTGGTTAAAGAAACTTTGGTACATCTACACAATGGAGTACTATGTAGCTCTTAGAAAAGATGAAGTCATGAACTTTACATACAAGTGGTACAATATGGAAAGTTATCATGCTAAGCGAAATGAGTCAGAAAGAGAGGGATAGACATAGAAAGATTGCATTCATCTGGGGGATATAAAGTAACAAAGTATGAGATTAATA